CGCTCGGCTGGTGGATGGTGCACAGTATGCTCAACCCCCCTGCCGCCAACTTCCGGAGTAGAGCCAGGATCGCCTCGGATGACTGACTATCGAGTCCGGAAGTAGGTTCGTCGAGAAACAGGAGCAGGGCTGGCTTGCCAGCAAGCTCGACGCCAATACTGAGTCGCTTGCGCTGCTCGACGTTGAGCCCTTTGCCAGGCAACCCGACGACGGCATCGGCAAAATCGTCCATGTTAAGAAGATGTATAATTTCCTCCACGGAGGCAAGCTTCTCGCTCTTTGGTACGTCGATGGGCTGCCTTAGCATTGCCGAGAACCGTAAGGCCTCACGTACAGTAGACGTTTCTAGGTGCACATCCTGTTGCTGGACATAGCCAACGTCGCTCTTGAACGACGCGGGGAGGGGCCTCCCGTCCACGTAAAACTCGCCTTGTATGACACCGGAAGGCGTTCTCTGGGCTAGCGCGTTCAAAAGCGTCGTTTTTCCGGCCCCTGACACGCCCATCAAGGCGGTTAGAGAGCCCGGTTTCACCCAACCGCACGCATTATCCAGCAGCCGTCTCGAATGACCCTTAATCATGACGTCGAGGCTCACCTTCCTCCATGAGAACGTTTCCCGATCTACTTGCATTGAAGTCGCTTCGTTCACGTCCCCCCCAAGCGGTGCGCTGCTGACCACCGGCGCCCGCTCGGCGTCGACTCTACCCTTGAGCTTCAAGTCGGTTTGTGCCATGGTGCTGGGGAGGCGGCCACGCAAGAAGACAAGGACATCCGGGCCAGTGGAGGAATTCACATTAAGTTCCGATGCCAGCAGATACGTGAACAGGAAGAAGAACAAGAATCCGAGGATGATGCCGAGGTTGCGCCATAAGTGGGAGTAGCTATAGTCGTAGCTCGTCTCGAACCAGGCGTCCCCATTCACAAAAGTCTCCCCGGCCACAGACCCAGGGGCCGGGCAAATGAACGTGTCGCCTGTCAGGTTCGGGTAAGGAGGCACCAAATTAGAACAGGGATAGTTAGACCCATGTGCTTGGTTAACGAGCAATGCCTCGAAGGCATAAGATAGTGGGTTGATATACGAGATCCATTTGAACCAGGGATGCATATATGGGCCAGGGAGGACAAAGCCGGTGTATGTGACCAGTGCAAGAACGAGGAAGCCAGAAATTGCCATGGCCTGGGGGAGGGTCCCAGTTGCTGCGGCGATGGTGCGGAACACCATAGACATCGCCAGAGTCGTCACAAAGACGAAAAGGAAGAAAATAAAGAACTGAGAAGCCGTCGTCGCGAGACCAGATAGGAAGTACAGGATGATGTTGAAACATGTCCCAACCACGAGTTTGACAGGAATGTCAACGAGAACGCTCGCAAGCGCCTCTGCCGACGGGCGGTAGAAGCCATACGACGCTTGCTTGCGGACAACTGAACGTCCCTTGTATAGGTTGTGAGTGTCTGTTATGGACATCAGGACATTAAGAAGTACTGAGAAGAAGAGAACAGATCCGTAGGAAAAGAAGGCGTTAGAAGTTTCTGGAGTGCCGTAGAAGACTGATCCCACCACAAGTGCAATAACGATTTCTCCAATCAGCGTCGTAAGGGTCGAGGCTTTGTCATTCCAAAGCTGCTGGGTCGCTCTTCTAGCGCAAAGCGCGGTCTGCATTAGAAACGACACTGTCTGTGTAGCTCTGCGCAACATCCCCCTCGCCTTGAGCTTATGGCGGGTCGACTCGAATTCTCTCTGGGTTGCCTCCCATTTTGAGCTGAAATCCTTTTGATACTGCTCAACCTCTTCCAGAATAGAAGCATACTCTGGCGATCCATGCCAATATCCTTCGAATTCTTCAGGCGTTCTTGGCACAAGATTTTCGTGCCCTTCCTTCGCTATTCTCTGCGCTGGGTTGGTGATTGCAGTCAGGAAGTCTCCTGATGTTTGCCTTGCATGACGTTGCCAGCCCATCCGTTCAAAGTACTGTGAGGCTGACGCAGCATGGCCGAAGAAGATTCCCCGCCCTTCGTACAGTACTAAGATCTTGTCAAAGAGATCTACTATGGCTTGGGAAGATTGGTATATCGCGGCCGCGTTTGCAGATTGGGTTACTGTGTGGACGTTAGTATTTTAGTTTTCCTTCTGACTATGTGAAGGGGCAATAGGTCTCACAGTCGGAAAGCGTGCGTAGCCGACAAACAAAATGTAGGGCGGACTCAGCATCAAGGCCGCGGGTAGAATTATCCCATGCGGATATAGCAGCTTTGAGAGCAGTCTCAGCAATCGAGACCCTCTTCCGTTCACCACCTGAGACGCCTCGCACATAATCGTTTCCTACAATTGTGTTGCGAGTGTGCGACAGGCCAAATACTGATAGCATGACTTCCACCACATGCTTCATCCGATCTTTTCGGGTTATATGTGGAAGACGAGCCCGTGGCGTGGGCATGGCTGTGGCGAACTCTAGCGTCTGTCCAACTGTCAGGTACGGGAGGTGTTCGTCTACTTCCTGATTGTAGATGAGTTCGCCTTTAAAGTGTCGAGCCATGATTCTGTGAGGGATGCCTAGGTTTCTCTGGTTAGTGCTCCTGCGCCCCTGGTTTTTGTCTTTGACGCACCTGTATAATGTAGAACTGATGCTGAGTCAAGCTCCAAGCTACGCATTTCACCTGTGATGGTTTTCAAGAAGGTTGTGCAGCCGCTTCCAGGGCGCCCTACCACAAGAAGGAGCTCTCCTTTTTGCACGACCCCATCAAGGTCCTGTAGAATAATTTTGCTGTGTTTTGGTCGAAACCAAGCCCTGAAATTAATTAGCGAGGTTAGCAGCGTCCAGACAGTGTCTTGCTGCTCGACGGCCGGGCCGCTACCGTGGACGGTCAACTTCCTGAAGGCAAAGCCGGAACGTGGTGGCGTTGGAAGACCTAGTTGGTTCCTCAAGTTGACAAGTATGTGGGACCATCTCTCGAAATCGAAAGATGGACTAGATGGATCTACGGTTTGGTCGAAGATGCCCAGTTTCAACAAGACGGCGTCCTGGGGTCTCCCGACGCCCTGAATTGGCTGTGTTTCGGAAATTGTATCAACAGTGTCGATAACTTTAGGACGAAGACTCTTTACAGGATCTCGGAAAGTCGATGTACAAAGGGAGCCCGCCTGACCAAGCTCACTCATGTTCTCATCCTCGCAATGTTTTACGGCAGAGGACGAAGGATTTCGAGACTGGTCCATGTTGGCTTAGGTTTTTCACTGTACCACTATGAGTGGGTGAATATCGTCAGTGTAGGTGTGTGAGAGACGCTTGAGCACCCTGAAAAAACCTGCGCAGAATTTCCGGTAATCTTTTGGTTCAGGGACAGGAGGTGAATCAATTGGAATCATTGGCGTGTGAAGAACTGGCTGGGGGGAATCTACTGCAAGTAGTGAGAATTTCATGCCTTTAATGTATTAAGTATTTGGCAATACTCCAACTAAGCATACATATCTTCAACACACCCCGAGACTGGGGGTTGGGGCAGCTCCCACCCCCCTCCCCCTCGAAAGGAAGGCCAGTTTTCCTTCACCAGGACACATGGAGAGCTGTCAGTCTAAGGTACAGCTTTCGCTCGATGATAACCCCAAGCAGGCCACAGGAAGGAAGCAACACTATTGTTTGCCAGCTTTAGTAACAACGTGGCTTGGTATATTCCTGACGACCGTGACTCATGATGATGATGTGTTCCTTCATCGCGGTCAGCCCAAACAGGGCTCCATGAAGCGTGCGTAAAAGCTAGCGATATTAAAGTAAGATCCAATTCAATGTATACTGACGATTTCCGCAGTCTAGACTCCCTAGTGCCGTCGGGTTCACTGAAGCCGCTGTACCCAGCCACCTCACTGTGATACGTGCCCAGCCCCATCCCCGTTGGTCCCCTAAGTAGTCTCATTTAGAATGAGTCGCGCGTTTTATCCCGGTATCCTAACACAGGTCGCTCGAAATATCAGAATGGATAAGGCCATATCTGTTGTCATCCCTCAGTGTCGCCATTATTTGCCGGTCAGGAGGGCTCGACAGACTGCCCATTACCAGTGGTAATTGGTACAGTAGGGTTAGACCTAGGGTTAAGGATTTGGGATTTGCGCAAATATTTCGACCACCTCCCAGTCCTTGTCGGATAGCTGGTTGTCTAGCTGGCAAATAAAGGGCAATGTGAGTGATTCCTTAGGACCGCCCCTCATGGCCTTGTTCTGCTGTTCGAAGTCGATTCGATGGTGGGCAATGAGTCGCTCGATATAGTCGCGAAGTAGTAGAGCTGGTCGTATCATGTACAACTGTGACAGCCATCTCGTATCGTTGTCCAAAATAACATCCAATGGCTTTCTGGCGTTGAGTTTTGGGTTAGTTGACTTGTTGAAGGCTTCCCGTTGATTGTTGCGAAGCATGCCAGCCAACAAGTCAGATCTGCGGATAGCTACCACAAGATTGTGCAGTTTGCCTGCCGGCCCCTTCTTGCGCCAAATCAAATGTTCTGCTTCGGTAAGAGGCTCTGTCCCTGATATCCGCCGCTCAAAAGCGTCAACATCGTGCCCAAATAGAACGGCTTTGGCGGAGAGGTTCAAAGTATGCCCAAAACAGCGCCCTCGCCTGCGGGCCCCAACGAAGCCGAGCTCTCCACCAATAATCTCCATAGCGGTATCATTGTTTTTCGCGTCAAGCGTGAAATAGCCAATCTTGTCTTGGATCTGATACGATTCAATTACGTCGAGGATTTTTGCGGCGATATTAGGCCCAGTGTGCCTGGCATATATTATGGCCCAGGTGTTTTAGAAGTTCCAAGATATAGTTGCTATACCGCAAGTAGAGCAGCAATTACGTCTTATCAATGCCTAGTCAACATGGGAATGTCCGATCGTGACGAGAGGGATCATGTAGGACGAAGTACAGAGCCGAGGCTTATGACGGGACAGCTCAGGAATCAGATCATATATCATTGGGCCGCTTAGCAAGCCTAACTAGGTATGTCAATATACGCCGCCCATTGCATTGAGCCCATAGCCCAGAGTGGAAGATTGTATCTTTGTAATAAAAGATACAATATTACAGTGCCAATGTATGTTCTTTTCATTGACAATAAGGCAAAAATCCCCCTCGTTATTTCCCCATATGTTAATTTCAACTCGCCCCATCCCCATCCTAGCGGACGATGTGCGGCCCTGGCTGATTCAATACTGAGTCCCGCCACATTGCATGATCCAAAATGATTGGCTGGTCCAAGTAGACGGGCACTCCACCCGGTATTTCATAAAATAGTTGACCGTTTTGCTTCGTTAACTGACATGGATGGTGTTGTACAAGCAGCCGCTTTACATGTTGGCGAAGACAGCGGCACCACCCATGAGGGCCCCCATGGCGACGGCTGCAGTAGGCATAGCACCGATGTTGTCAGTCGCAGTAGCGCTGCTGGCGATAGCGCCGAGCTCAGAGGTAGCCTGGTCGATCTTGGACTGAATAGCCTGGCTAGCGGTGCCGGCGGCGTCCGCAAGATCCGAGCTGAGAGAGGCCAGGCGGTCCTCGACGGCGCTGGAGGCCCTGGCAAGGTCGCTGGTGTCAACGGCCTTGGACTCGGTTTCAGTGCCGGTAGCGGTCTCCGTAGCATCGGCGGAGGCGGAGTCGGTGTCAGTAATGGAGTTGATGCGGGAAGAGAGGTCGCCAGCTCGGGTAGAGAGATCCTCAACCCGGGTGGAGACGTTGGAGGCGATGTCACCAGCACGGCTGGTGGCCTCGCCGACAATGGAAGGAACGTCACCCTCGGAGAGGAGAGAGAGAGAGAGAGACTGGGCCTATAGGTTGTTGATTAATCGCTGCGTATGCTTGAAGGAAATCGAAGAAAACCTACCTGAGTGTAGGCGGCCAGGGTGGCAAGGATAGTAGTGGCGGAGCACTTCATTGTGTCGTGGCTGTAATGTTAGACAACGTAGTTGCTGAGTGAGTGATACTGGGTATTCGACGAGGATAACAGCGCCGGTCTGGACTGGAATTAAATAACGATGGATGGGAAGAGAGGGAGGTAGGTGCTGATAGAAGTCCAGAGGTCAGGACGTTTTATGGACACAGAGGAGCCGTCCGATCTTACATGCACACTTCGCATCTCTAAGCCCACACCCTACTGTACCAAGGACAGACGGTAATTTATTGAAATATAAACTTTTCGTCCGTGCACGCCACCCCTGCCTTTCTAAACCTTCATGACATTACACACCTTATAACCGTGCACCTTGATTGGGACCTACGGTTGATAACTGTTGAACGGATCGCGTACGCCTTGATGTCCTTAATGGTATGCGTATTTTGGAACTGTGTCCCCACCCTTCCTCAGAGAGGGGTCTGCTTATGATGCTTTCCTAAACAGGCCTAGCCTCGCTGACAGATGGCCGATAGGTCACATGCTGCACCTTGCGGCCACCCTGCTGTTCAACAGTTTCAGTGCTCCTGAGGAAGGCGGCTTCTTATCCCTTTGACTGGCACAATCCTGCGGCCTGTACCGCGCTCCACTCGACCCCACGTACAAGGAGGCTACAAAAGCTATGATGAGGCTATCGCGATCTAGAAGAGTCACTCTCCTGTAACCGGTCTACTTCTATTATAGTATAGCCTTAGAAATAGGCTGCCCTAATTGGCTATATAACGATTATAGGGATTTGTTCTCAGTGATAGTACAAGCTGCTTCTGTATTAGCTGCTTTGAGAATCTTGATTGGTATACTAACCCATTTTGACCTCAGCGCAGGGTTGTGCCAGTCAAAGGGATAAGCTATCTTCTTAGTTAACCGCTTCTTCGGCGTGTGCGACGTGGTGCGTAGATTAACACTAGGACATCTTTGAATGCTAACGTCGGGGCTGTTGGCGCGCTGTCGTGAGTCTAGTAGTAATACTTCTTTCTCTAGGATCGCTGGGGAAAGCTGCTTGATGTTGTAGTTACCTACTCCTCACAGCTGGTTCAAGAATTAATAGAGGTCGGCTGGGCAGATAGTATCGGACGTAAAAGAAGCCATCTTGATCTTAGGAAGAATTGCTAGTTATAATAGCAAATCAAGAGACCACTTGCATCCTTTACCAGATATCTGAAAATATGGGATCTGGTGGAATTGGGTGAAGATATTTTTGATTAAATATTTGCTGGATTTTCAAAGTGGAAATGATAGGGAAGGAGAATCGGTGGTCTGCGACGGCGAGGGGGGGGACGAACCTCTGCGACTGCAATAAGTCTCCAGTGATAAAACTCAAATCAGCAGGTACCTTAGCATGCATGACTTTTTCACCGCGGTGGCAAATTCGTGTAGTATCAGATTTAAAAGTAAGAACCTTCTTATGATTAGATGTTTCCAAAATTGGTCTAACGATAGAGCAGTTACCTACTTGAGGCTTACCGCACGTTGAAGGGTATTTGTAATAGCAATTAAAATGGACTGAGTCCGAGGGTCTGCCTTATTTCAGACTGGCAGTTCTAAAGACCCCAATTTTGATCATCCCATATCAGCGTCATGTCCCCATCAGACTCGTCATCGTTTTCGTTGCGGGCAATATTCGAATTATTTGCCGCTGGCTGGCTTGAAGTATTCGATTGGGGAACCCCGCTACTTGAAAACCTGCCGATGAGATAGCTTAAACCAATGGCATTTATGTCTCAGGCACCACCTCATCGGCGACAAACCTTAACCCTGGGCCTACGGAGCCTCCGTAATGCTTTTATTGGCCAACGCAGCAGCCAACACCATTTCATTTTGAGGGGCGGGTTCAAACTTTACAGGACGTCCTACAGCCAGGGGAGCCTACATGATCACACGATGAGCGATGGATCGTGATGTGTCTAAAGGAAAAGGTTCTATACTGGCGTACCCTATACCCAATTTTCCTTACTATTGGGATTTGTGTATTATTTGGCCGAGTGGGACTACTTGGTAAGGTCTAGAGACCGACCTCCCTTGCTTTCCGTCAGTCACCAGTGACCGTGCCTTAAGCACGGGAGGTAGGGTGACTAGGCAAAGGGTCGGTTGATAAGGAAAATTAAAGGTACCTCTTTTTCTTAAGCCTAATCTTACTATTAAAGGTATCTTTAATTGCAAAAGTCATGTGACTTTTATCTAAATTTCTCTTTAAAATTGGAGAAATAATATACTTCTAATTTCATACCATAACCTATAGAAATATAGGTACCTTTATTTCCCTTGTCAACCGACCCTTTGCCTGGTCACCGTACCCCCCGTGCTTGAGGCACGGAGCTTGCGGGTGAATCAAGTTAGGGGGGCCGGTCTCTAGGCCCTACCCGAGTACTTGTGTGGGAGGTCATATCCGAAGGAAAGAGTTAGTGACCGAACGACCATGCATCTATTTTACTAAAAGCAAACGGCAGTGCAACGACCGCAGTCGAACGACGAAGGAGCCTATCTTAACTCCGTTGATCGAGACGGGACTTCGAGTCTTGCTTATCCACGGGTGGTACTCGAACGAGTGAGGGTTAATCCCTCATGGAGAACAGACAGCAACAGTTGGGCCGAGTTGGGTCAAGGTTATCAGACATTCTTGTATTGCCGCTTGAGGCGGTTGAGATTGCTGGGCAATGTCGTGATCAACTTACGGGCCAGCTCAGAGACTGGCTTTGTTTTCCACCTCTGTCATTTCTCTTCCAAGTCCGCTTCTCTGCGGAGCAGTTCGTCAAAGATGTTTGTGGAATATTACGGCTCGAACGGGCAAGAGCTTCAGTCACGTTAGTCGACGAGAAGGAGACGAATGAAGAGGCGCAGACGCGACGGATGAGTGTATACGAGTCTTTGGTACCGAAACCATGGGGGTTCTTGACTGGACAGGAGGAGAAAAACGTGGGAGGCATCCCTGTGTTGAAAGTGAAGTTGCGAGTAGACGAAGTATTTGGTTTTCAGTGTCTTCTGATGTTAATGCAGTTTCATGTATTTGTGCGGAAGATCATTGAGATGACAGAGGAGCTTGGGACGAGCGAGCCATGCTTTGATTCGGTCCGCATCTCGAAGAATAAGCTAGACTGTGTGTTAGCTAGCGTTGTTCAGGTGTTTATCGAACGCGGGGGCGGTCAGGATGAGTTCGTCATTACTTCGTATGGCGAAACAGGTTTCCCAATCTAGGTTATACATAACCTCATCTTTGCATCTCAGTTATATCAAAAGCGAGTAGCATGCGGTATAAAACGATTTTTTTTATTCCTGTCTTTCTAGACATATAAAGTGATGCAGACGAAGATATTTTAATTAATTTGTAATGATTTTCTATTAACGTAACGTGTTTGTTAAGCGAGTGTTGTCAGACATTACGTGTATTCGGTCCATTGATCCAGATTGGTATATTCATGTTGTGTTATGTTGAATTCTGCCCCTTAAGAGGTTTTACCATTTCGGTTGCAATCTTAAAGTATCCCTGCTTGCACGTGAGACCCCAGCACCTGTTCAACAAGTGTCGCGGATAAGCGAGTGTGTCACAGCATACTGTGCAGCTAATAATAGCTTACCCTACAGCATTCTAAAGCTTAAATAAATTAGCTAAAAATTAAATAAAACTTTTTCTTAAAATAGTATAGTTAATATTATTAAAAAGTATTTTTAAAAGATTTTTAAGTATTTTAGTTTATATAGAAAGCCTTAGAATACAATGTATTTTACAGTATAAATAGACTTTAAAGTTTATAGCTATATAGGATTTTTTTAAAAATCTAGGAAAATTAATATAGCTTACCTTAGGACTTATATATAAGTTATTTAAATCTTCGCTATTTTAAGCTTAATTTAAATTTTTAAGAATTATTTAAAAAATAGCTTTTAAGGTGAAAAATGGGTTGTGACACTCGCTTATCAAACACGTTACATGATAAGCGTGGGCAACCGATACCATCCACAACCCCTCTTTCGCCATCACCCTTCATTCGCCAGGCAAAATAAAAAAACCTCCACCAAAACTCACCAACTTCACTTACACAGAATTTGACCAAATTGACAGAAATGCATAAAATCATTCATTTAATGAGTTATAAGTAGATTTATCTATTGTACTCTGGTTTTTTTCACCACCCGCCGCGACCGCCTGGTGGGTTGGTGGGGTATGTTTTCCTCTCTGACTTCGATGACAGAGCCAGCCTCCGATTCTGACTCCTGCTCGCTTGAAGAGACAAATTCCATCCCGACAGGCGTATAACGAGTCGCCCCTTCTGGTATGGACTCTTTACCAGCTAGAGTCTCTTCAAGAGTCATAAAACGTTTGTTAGGATTCGGCACCGCCACCGCCTTCCTCTTCTTCCCTCTTTTCAGCCCAGCCAATTCTTCCTCTAGGCTGGCAATCCTCTGCGTATGCGCCGCTACTGTCTGCTGGTGAGCTTCAAAGCCCTTGGCTATCACGTTATACCGTCTCCGCGTCTTTGGTGTTTTGTTCAGCCCAAGATCACGAATTTGACGGCTCGTCTGTGGCGTATCGTCCGAGCCAAGATACGGCCCAGGTTCAGGAGTCACTCTTGGGCTGCCGTTTGGCCTATCTTGTTGGATTTCAGGGTGCCGTAACGCTTTCGCACGTGAAATTGGCCAGTTTCCAGTGACCCTCCAGCCAGACAGTATGTTCTTCTTGGTCATTCCAACTCGGCGAGCCTTGGCGTAGGCCCTGATGAAATTGACCTTGTCCATCGGAGCGGAATCAGTCAACGAAGCGAACTTTTCCAACTCTCGTCGATATGCAGCCTTCGACGCATTAAATACTCCATTGTCCAGTGGCTGGAGTCCATGAGAGCAGTGTGCTGGTAGATAGCAGCAATAAACGTTGTTCAAAAAGCACGTGGCCATCCATTCATCCTTCCATCACTCAGCACTGATCTTGAGGTGGGAAAGATAGAGAACATACTGTTGCATGGCTTCCATGACCATCTAAAATGATCAGTCTCGCGTCTGACTCGTCAGAAGGTGTTGTCTGGGGCAGATAAACTCTTTCAAGCCATTCAATGCCTATGTGGTCATCAGTCCACCCGTTGGGCGAAGTTATGTAATACCAGTCTGCTATCTGCTTGAACTCGTCAAGGAACCATTGTTTCTGCAGTTCCTTCCCCTTGAAGATTATGCCAGGAACTAAAGCGCGGCCGTCAGCAGTGACAGTTTCGATGAATGAAGTCCAATTTCGAGTTTGTGGTCCCATAGATGCGTATTGTTGTACAATTGTTGTATGTTGTGAGGTAGTGTTGTACAACTTTACAACAGTTGTACAACAATAAGGTCACGTGCAACGACCAAACGGGTAGAATAAGGTGCCATGGCTCTATATCTTCGTCTATAGCATTCTAGTCATCTTGTAGACCTACATCCATAGGTGCCCCATCATCTCCAGCCAGTGGATTGCATACTAGACCCAATCCACCCTCTCGGGAGGGGACAATTAGTCCTTCTCGTAGCTAGTTGCCGATACATTCCACCTTCTCAAGATTCTTGCAAGTGATTCGAAGCCGGTCCCACGAAGCAGTACGTCGAGCACCTGAGAATGCTCTCTCTGGCTCAGCTGATTCAGATGGGATGGAAAGGATATCGATAGCCATCCGACTGAGCCGTGGATACTGTGCCCGTTGCTCAAGACGAGACCACCACTCAAGAGGACAGTCGATTTCAAGAGGTAAAGCGTTGATAAAGGAATCCAGATTGTCTGAATCGGTAGAAATAGCCTTCTGCTTCACCTCAATTGACCTGAAAAGAAACGATAACTGACCATCCTTCTTCGAGGGTAGCGGTGCAGGACGACATTCTGGTTCCTTTGAGATGGCAAGTCCTTGATACTCTGTCATCCAGATATCCCGAGCACCAGCAATAGCTGCCTCATGCCAGTCTCGAGGCCCATTTTGCTGAATATATGCTGGTCGCTTAGAAGGATCAAGTAGTAAGGCGGCAGCATAGACCGGGACATCTTCAGTCATAGTATAGTATTTGTCTAAGACGAACCAGCCCATCTCAATGGCATGGAGCATCCGAGTATCCATTGAGCCAGGCTGCGAGTGCTGAACCTTTGCACTCTCATAGTGGAAGAGTAGAGCATTCATCAGAAAGAGGGACTGGGAGACAGAAGAGCATTTTCCCTCGGCATATAGCGTTGCTGATGCAAAGGGCTCAAGGAATGCATGGGTTTTGGCCAGCAAATCCCAATCAGAACCACTTAGAACAGTATCTTCAAGCTCTCTGTCATGCTCAAGTAGAAACTGATTGATCTGAACTTTCTTCCTAATGGCATTGTCGATCACTTTATACCAGGAGGACTATCGTGTGGCATTATCAATCCCAAGGCTGAGGCCGACAGCATCACGCCAGCTATCACTGTGGAGTGATGAGCTACGAAGCCAGACAGCAAGGTTATGGAGCTTCTGGAGAGCTGGAATGCCTTGCCACCCAGTATAGTCCTCATCAATGCTAGTCTTCTGACTGGCATTAGCTGTCGATTTGGGCCTTTTACCTTGCAGCACAGGCTCTTCCTGTTGTGATATGGTTTCTGCTAGTGTGGCGGCAAAGTGGTCGACCATATCCACACTCTCATCGCTAATAGTAGCATTGAGGGCTGCTGTGAGAGCCTCCTTAGATCGAGCAAGAAGGAAGGATTGCAAGGAGAGGTTAATGATATGACCAATGCACCGGATTCGACGCCTCTTAGGGTTGAAATCGATCCACTCTATGTCAGATAGGATCCAACTAGCTAGGGGACAAGCATACCTGGAGCTCTGCCTTCAATTTCTCTGATAGTGCCTCCAAACACGTATTATTTGAAGTTGCATTGTCCCCTGTGTGGTAGCCTACTCTCAATATATCGAAGTTGCCTAGGACTTCCACAATCAAGGCTGCCTGGGCCTCACCACTATGACTGAATGGACATTCTGGCAGTCCTAAGAGCGCCTTTCGAAGCGCGTAGTTATAATCAGCCCATTGGGCACACACTGCTAGCATGGCATGGCGATGCCTTGATGTCCAAAGGTCAGTTGAGATGTGGATCATCGATTGAGAACCCTGAATGAGATCTCTAAGCTGGGAAGCATATAGCCCATAGTTGGCATTTATGATCTTCATAGCCTGATCATGGGACGTAATCAGGCAGTCTTCAATGGCAGGATTGCATGCCAGGGCAAGACTCTTCATCTCATCCCAAGTAACTGAAGAGAACGGGACCCGACGCCGCGTGAGGAGTCCCACGATTGCCTCAATATACCGTTGAGCATTGAAGACATTCCGAAGAGTACTGTCGGATGGTTGGAATGTTATATATGAGTCTATGGATGGCTGCGTCGATTGCTGTGAGTTTTGAGACGTCTCACTAGCCTGGATAAGTTGCCGGTGTCGATTTTGAGCATGGGTTATGGCATTGCTTGTGTATCCGTTGCTCCAGCGAGTTGAGCAGTGAAGACAGACGTATTCCCTTCGACCATAAGACTTCCGAACCCTTCCAATTTGAGCCTTGTTCTTCTCCGGATACTCAACACGGAAGAAGCTGTAGAAGTCCCAGCCCAGCCGCTCGATGGCTGTTAATTGAGCAGATGTTGAACCGATAGGCGATGAGCTAGCCATAGTCGAGATTCTAGGAATCAGTGCTTAAGTATATGGCACCCTAATGGTGCCTAAAGCGTCTAGGATTTGCAGTGAGATTCGCAGTATCAAAACAATAGAGACAGGGCAGCTCGGCCATAGCATTGATTGAAAAAGTCATCACTCGCATGTGGAAAATATCGAATCGAAGAAACCTCTTAATTTCTATCTGATGAGGGACTGGGAGCTGGCTTCTTGTAGCTATGTTTCGTCATAAGCAGCATTGATGGCCTTTAGGCAGCCGTATGCTGCCTTGCGCTACCGCTATAACTCATGAAATTCGGTAGCGCCTGTGGATACGCGCCTGCCTGTTTCTAGCTTCTTAATTGGCCTAGCTGTAAATAAAGATCTGATGGCTTGCTAAATATTACTATTGGTCAAATGGGTGAAATGGCTGTGCCTAGCGTGTATCCACAGGCGCTACCGAATTTCATGAGTTGATGCGGTAGTTGTGATGTGACGTTCGTGCTGTCCGTGAAACTATTCACGACAGTTATCCTTAGCCGTGACAGAGCTTATCCGAGGAGTAAAGAGAACATAAACTTATATGCCTGTCTGCTAACGGTGGGCGTCTAAGAGCCATAAGTGTGCCACGGGTCGTAGCCATCAGTGAGGTCGTTTACTACTCAGCCGGTGGCGGATAGCTTCACGGCGTAACAAGGCCATCGTGGCACGTCACGTTTCTGGTGTATACGATAAAACCAATATCTGATTAGCTAACACTACCAACTTGACCAATTATATGGAGCGCCTTATTGTTGTACAACAGTTGTTTGGGAAGTCCGGTAGTGTTGTACAACTTCAACAAAAGTAGTGTTGTACAACTTCAACAAAAGTAGTGTTGTACAACTATACAACAGTTGTACTCATATAACAACACTACAATACGCATGTATGCACGAAAGACACTAGGCGAGTCCGCTGGCGACCTACTACCACAACCTTGGCGCCGGTCGCGACAAGCTTAGACGCAAGGGCCGCTCCGATACCCGAGGTAGCACCAATGACAAGCGCTTTCTTGTAGAGAGGGGCCATTGTATTGTAGTTTGAAGATGTTTCCGGAGCTTATAGAGTAATCTCAAAAGACACTGGGCTGGTGATGTAGATTTTGAATGATGGATTAGCCCCCAATCGAAAATGGAACATTGTTCCTATCTTTTCATTAGAGACCGAAAGATTCAGCTTGTGACCAACTACATCAGCTCGTTATGATCAAGAAGTTGAAAGTACTAACAACGTTCTACTTTGTATAGGCGTGTGACTAGCAATTGGCGATTAGCTGAACCCCTTGTCCTAGCGTACCGTCAGTTCGAGAGTATAATAAGCGCTACGGGGAGTTAAAAGGGCTTATGCTAAAGACAAATAAATCTCGCGTGGGAACTTTTAACGGGTAAAGTGTAAACAGACGTAAGGGGTGGTGGATTAGGTGCGCCTAGTGGGCGTAACAACATACCGGTATGCTGCTGCTTATTATGCAAGGGAAGCTGAGAGTAGCTGAAGCCTAAGTCTACAATTTTAGTGGAGTAACTACACCTAGACCAATGGCGTGACAGATGCTGGGAACCTCCTTGAAGCCATGTTATCATTTTGACGTGTCCCAGATGCGGGGAATAGCACCCCAAAGCCACCTTATCACTTGGACGTGCTCTAGCTCTCACTTTCAGCATTAGCAACGTCTCGCAAGGCTGCCTGATATTTTCCGAAATGACACGGAGAGTGACGGACCAAGCTCTGTTACTTATCAATACTCTGGAAAAGAAGTCTCTGTCTCCCTGATGCCCCGGCTGTGTATTACCCGCCCCTCCAGTCCCTTATCCCAATCATACGCTATCACACGGTTCAATACTTTCAATCTCTAATATAATACTAAAGAACCTAAGTACCTAGAGATGGAGGGATGGAAAATACACAGTCGGGGCATCAAAGAGATACGAAGTTGCTGGTACGCGCCATTGTTGAACAGTGTCAACCTAAAGTCGTAACATCTAAGGGAACAACAAGATTATCAGGGCAACACCACACTGGCTGCCGTGTTTATTCAGTGAAGTAACTTTGGCTTGTATCTTCATAACAGGGTCAGGGACTGGAACTCTAATGAGTGAAAGCTATAATCAAATCGCTGGTGCATACTAGATACAGAGCACATGGGTATTGACACAGCCCGTTGACTCTTATTAAAAGGCTTCACGCACACTCGCTGAGACTAAGTTCTTCAACGGTGTGAATATTAAACAATTCTTATCGATCCCAAACACGCATCATCACCATCCAACTGCGGAGACCAAGATGTTCGGACGTCGACGAAGGCCTATTCTTGGCGCCGCTGTTGTTTACGGTGCATCACGAGCAGCCGCCAAGCATGAGGTACGAAAGCAGGAGCTTATGGCCAGTGAGCGTGATCGCGAGATAGAACGCGAGGTCGATCTTCGGAGGAGAGAAGAAGAAGAGCAAGAACTACGAACACAGCGTGCCGTCGATGAAGCCATGAAAAAGGCTGCATTGCAAGAACAAGCCGCTCAACAGAGCGCCGCTGCGATGATGCCGCCTCAGCCGCGATATGATGAGGCCTATCCAATGATGCAAGCCCAAACACGGGATTTGGGAGTCTTCAACCCAGCCGACGACGGAAACACCATCATTCAACCAGCACCGGCATACCAGGTGGGACCTCAGTTTGTGGAGGGGAGACCTCAGAAAGGTCCAGTCCAGGGTCCAGCGCCAGGATCCAGAGTTCACTACTGTACCCAGTGCGGCTTCTCTTGTCAAGATACAGATAGGTTCTGTCGTCAGTGCGGTGCAAGGCAAGCGGCTAGAGAGATTGTGGTAGGGTGAGCCAACTGCATTAGTTGACACTCTTCTGGTGGAAAGAGGTGCCAATTCAAATGACACTCGAAGGGTGGTGTGAAAGGGTGGTGATACCAAGATGTAATTCTCATGTGTGAGGCTGATTACGGCTCAAACTCAATTTCAGCCGCTTCTTATAATAATCATATGATACTCTGTTATTAGTAATCTCATTGCCGCTGTGAATGATGCAAACTGGGATGCCTGTAATGGAATAAAGCAGTTAGACTAACTAAAATATTACAGGTAAGGTACAACAGGGAACAGCGTGGGTCTTTATTTTCCATCCACAAGTAGCCAAGCTATGGAGTCAATGGTTGAGATATTGCAGCCTGATAGCCTTGTTAATTTAAGTTACTGTGGAAATTGCATCTATAGTAATATTAAAGGTCGCAAGGGTAATAAAGCACACACTTCGTCACTTACCTTTGTACCTGCTTGATGCTGATTTGTTGTTAGAGCTACTGAGACTTGTTTGGAGCCTATCAGTTGGGACTGGCCAATTGCATCTTACGTATCTAGTGTGTACTTTATTACCCTTGCGACCTGTACAGTTCTTAGAGCTTTCTTTTCACTTTCATGTAACCCTAGTTACTATCTTTTGAGATGATATTGATCTTCTTTGAAAAAGTATAGAGTGTAGGATGTATCATAAATATATCCATAAATTCATCCATTGTTAGATACATACTCAGTTACAAACAAATAAACAGGAGATTGACTAGTAAAGTAACTCCGACCGCTCTCAACCAGGGCACCGAATCCCTAACAGCATCCGAAATCATCAGGTCTGGTTCGTAGGTGTCAGGAACTGTCGAGTTCGTCGTGCCGTTCCAACAGTATCTCTCAAAACAGTCTACGCATTTGGATGGTACAGCTGTGCCTGTACGAACTAGGCTACGAGCCAACACCGCGCAACCTACGCAGGCAGGCCATTCTGAGTCCACTGTGCCATTACCCATAGTTGCAACATTATAACCGTTGCGAAGAATCTGATTTCTCTCACTGTCGCTGTATTCAAGGTCGAAAGTCGTGAAATTAGACTCATATGAATATGGTCCGTTAGGAAGGTAGACAATCAGTGGCCCTGACGAGTTACCAGAGTCTGTGTCACAACCAAAAAAGGTCGGTTGCTTATTGAGACCGAGGTTAATGAAAGTGTTTTGGTCTGGGACCTTTGGAAACTCGTTGTTTTGAGTTGAGACGCCCGCTTTAGATCTCTCATATGTGGCTACCAGAGATGTGCCGTTCGGCCAACGTGTCTTGGTATCAGCCGATCCGTCGATAGCGAAGATGACATCGACTTGTCGATCAGATACGAGCAATGGATGGAAGGGAACATTCTGTAAGTCCTCACCGCCGTCGACAAGGGTAAGGATGGTGCTGTCCGCGTTTGAGTTGTTCTTAGAGTTATACTTGTAGAACGGGTTTGGCCAGTTAGCAATATCCCTGTTCTCCTCGCCAATATCCGCCAGAGTATTATTTATAGCCTTAAGCAGGAACTCTGGAACATTGTCGGCCTTTTGGATCTGCAGGAATGCCTGGTTGAAAAGCGACGCTGAGGTGCCCATAACGAAACCAGCGTTGTCGGCCCCAGCGACACAATCTCCATTGCGTCCGATTGTACCGTTATGGAAGGCAGAGCCGACGTACTTCAGAGGTGCAAATGCGGCAAGCTCTGGGTCGAAAGATCCCATTTCCCACGGATTGAACTCTATGATAGTGGAATTGCTTGCTATTTGAAGCTGTCCCGTTGTTCTTTCTACTGCAACTATAAGAGGCATAGGCGCCCTCGCAGCCGCGAACTCGGTATCATTTGCAATCGATGAGAAGGTATATGCTAAGTGATGGTTAGCTCCCTATTCAGACTATAGCCAAAAACTCATACCTGGACCTCCATCGCTCGCATTGACAAGTTGATAGATAAGGACCTTCCCCAATAGTCGGTTATGGACTTGTTGTAACCTGCCTCCACTTTACCTTGGACATCTTTGTACAGCTCGCGGTAGTATCGCGTTACAGATAGATCATTTGGGCCTGGATTTATCAAAGTAAGCAAGAGCCCTGAATAAGTAACTGTGCTGCAACAAACCTTCGAAGATTGAATCATCAAGTTGCCAAAGGGAACCTAGGAAAGCATTGGAACCATAGATGATAGATTCCACTGTCGTGAAGTTCTGTACATACAGACTTCCAACCACCCAGCTGCCTCCAGACAGACCGCTGAGGTAGGTTGTAGCTTGGAGAATACCGCCCAATTGGCCTTTACCTGTCGACCCTGTGGTTCGGTTGTCAAATGCAGCGATGGCACCAGCACCGTTTATCATGGCTCGATAACCTCCACCGGAGATAGCAATGCCAATTCGTGGCAACGTCGTGCCATTGCTCACAATGCCGTTCAAGTATGCTTCAATGTCGATGCCTCCGATATTTGCACGGGTAAGAAATTCTTCCAACGCAGGAAAAGTGCTATTATCGCGAAGCTCCAGCCATGATGTTTCTTCAGTCGACAATGTCGTTGCCTGCCGAATTGCGGGCCGTGTCTTGGGGCATGGGACACGAGCGGGGGTATAGCCATCAGGGGCATCCGGCGCCGCTCTTGGCTCAAGAATTGGGAAAAATCCGCCTTCAAGGAAGCCGCAGTGTGTTGCTGGATTAGAGATTTACCGCTATAACTCATGAAATTCGGTAGCGCCTGTGGATACGCGCCTGCCTGTTTCTAGCTTCTTAATTGGTCTAGCTGTAAATAAAGATCTGATGGCTTGCTAAATATTACTATTGGTCAAATGGGTGAAATGGCTGTGCCTAGCGTGTATCCACAGGCGCTACCGAATTTCATGAGTTGATGCGGTAGTCCAAGTCTACCTTGGTAACTGATACATGAACATGCCCGTGGATAACGCCAGCAAAATTGCCAACTGGATCAAGCGACCGCATGATATCATTTTTCACTGTCAAGTAGGGTTCGAATTGTCGGAGTCAATGATTTCGAGTGTTAGCTCAGTTTAGGACGGCGTCGCGGACGGGAACAGAAAGACTCCAATATCTCTCGGAGACAAGAGCAGCCTCGAGGTCCTTGTGCTTATTGGAATATCGTGTATTTCTGAGGCGTATTATTCAAGGCCACTGGCTATTGGTCACATGTGTCACAGTTACGTATGCGTTCTTGTGAATTTAAGTTGTGTAGTAACCCACTGAATAGTGCTTATGGACTAGTACTCCATCTTAGGAAATAACATCACATGTTTGGCTTCATGCCAGACAAACGTGGCTGAACTTTGCATTAAAGTAGCTGTTTGTCAGACTACGTACTGATCCCTCAGACCATTCAAGTGACAGCAGCAAACGCACCATCATCCAATCCTGCATCTGAGCCTGAAACTGGTTCTGTAGTGGCTGTCAGACTTTCGATGTACAGGGTCATTGCCAAAGATAGTTAGCTTACCAAATACGAAGACAACAACAGCCTGATTTCCCCGCCCACCCAAAACTCTGATGTTGAAAGCATCTCGTGGGCAACAGCAGTCGTATTTGTTTGGTCCCACGTAAGGTATGTTCCACGAAAAGGTCACTTTGTTGTTGGTCTCGAAGCCGACGACTCTGTAGGAAACAGAACCAGTAATCACCCCATATATGTGGCTTGACTGGCATCGCAACATGCCGCTCTCCCCTGCCAGTATCTCTTGCGGCGGCCGCGAGTCTGGCGTGTCCATCCAATGGCCATGATCTAGACTTGGTGATTCTGCCTCGATGTTGAGTTCCTCGTTAGTATGATTCAGAATGACAACTAATAACTCCCTTGCAGCCATGTTATTGTTGACTTGGAGCGACAATTAATTGATGGTTTGCGCTGTCATGGGGTGCGTAATTATTAGATTGTAAGCAGAATAGAAGAGATCAGTCTTGAACATCATTAAAGTTTGGCGATATTGTATGAAGTTATTCCAGCCTTATATATTTGTCTAGAGCTGTAATTAACACCACGTGGGCCATTATCGGCAGGCTGAAGTTAGTTGTGAGCTCCACAAGTGGCCGCTCCCTTATCAAAAGGAACCCTAATTTGAGACACTACCGTTTAAAGATATAGCAATCGGCTCGAGTATCTTTGTGGTATGGCACAGCACCACTATCAAGGATAGACATAGATTGAGTTATTACAATCATGATCAGTGAACATATCTGGTTGACCAGGGCTACAACTAAGATCTATAAAATGGGCCACGGTGTCGCTTCTTTCGAGGTCTTGATTTTATAAATGTTATGCACTCAAAACACTGACATGTCTTCCATCGATCACAGGCTCGACAAGGGTCAACACTCCAAGGAAGGACGGCGACGCCATCATAATCATGATGGTACAGATGATCCAAATCGTCACTGTCACCACCATCATCATCATGTTCACCGCAAACCAATGGATGACAACGCCATGAGACTGTACGAAGGGCCAGAGTGGTGGAGTCACTTGATCGATTCATCGGTTCTAGAGACGTTAATTAGTGAGGCTCATCTCCGTCTAACTACTTCCGTTATATTCGCTTACAAGATATGCCATCAGCAAAGGCGATTGAAGCGAGCGGTCATGGAGAAAAGAGGGGTTCCGAGATTCGTAATGAAAGCCACCATGCGCTGCGTAAGGGTGTCCGTGCGGGGGCGGAAGTAGCATCCCGTATCAAAAATGATAGAGGGCCTTGGGCTGGTGAGAAGTCAATCAAGGTTGTCAGTGCGGCCATAACATCAGCAACCATTGACTTATTACTGGGCACTGATTCCAAAAGCCATCCACTGAGGTATGCAGTGGCTTCAATGGTTGAGAAGGTTATTATAGATAGAATTATAAATGGTAAACTAAAGCTTTGAAACGTATATATTTCGATACCTTTCTGCCCTGACCGTGAAAGTCTTTTAGGTTTGGGAGCTAGACCAGAGGGATTGTAATCATATCATTCATTTGCCAAATGGGATGGTGTCAGATATTGGGGTCCATTGTGTGCTGTTCATCTTGTTGTTTTTTTTTTCTCCCTGTCCGATAGTTGGGTTGGAACCCTATTTCTATCTGTTCAGTAATGACCTATCTAAGAGGTTGTTACAGTGCTGAGACAGCTCTCTGACCGGTAGTTCGGTCATCCGGTTAGCCGGTCTCATTTTCACCAGTATTCAACAGATGGGGCCATTGACGACACTATCCCATCAACTGTCATAAACCTCCAACGCGGTCACGACAGGGGGGTCGACCCAATTAAAATGGCGCAAATAAAAGGTACATCTCCCCCCACCTAAATTAGCCTATGGTAGAAGTCCCAACAATCCTTCGAGTTACAAATCGCTACATCGCACTTGTCGCATCCCTTCCATGATTGCCGCGGCCGCCTTGGCCTCCTTCTGTTGCCGCTCACACCTGCTAAGGGCTTTCTTTTTTGGCTTTTTGACCTAACCTCCCCAACCCGAAGGCCCTGACAAGGAATGCAGTCTGATTTTTTCCCTCTTGAGACGTAATTGTGCTGTTGAACAGGCGTAAATTCGTCCCCCGCTCGAAACCTTTGCCGCGACTGACTGTCATGGTGGAAAGCCTTGAAGATATCATTATAAAGCCGCTCACGCCACTCAACCTGACTCGTATATCTCTTCCAACTTGGCTGCCCGTGAAGCTGAAGAATATAGCTATTCACAAGGATAACCTCTAAGAGGAAGTGCCAAGTTAGGGCCTGCCAAGCACCCCGGCGGACAGGGTGATCATAGCTGTGATATGACCTCAATTGGTCGCCTCGATCTACATGATTCATCTCATTATTGTACTCAGCGGCAACTGTAGGAATGCTAATTAGCTTGACGGTCTCATCACCAAAGAAACGCTGTATCGGCCGTGCCCGGATGTGGTCTGTTGACGGCTTCTTCCTCTTACACTCAATTCTCTCGTTCCCCTTAAAAACGGTCGACATAAACAACACGAGAGCATTATCCTTCCACGCGATTTGGTTGACCTAGGACGAAGAGAGAACTTAGTAAGGGAATCATATATAATTTTATCTTAGTTACTTACCTGATTATCAGCTGTTGGTATGACCCGGATCTCTTAAACTCATAGCCTGATTTCCCTAACTTATCCTTGTTTTTTGAGACTGCGAGGTCTTTATAGATACCGCAGTTAGCACGGGCTGTGCCTGTAGCCCCGTGGCCGTGCTGACGAAGGGAGAGAAAGAGGTCGGACGACGAGAAGAGGTTATCCATAAAGACGTGGTATACGGCCGGCGGCAGCATATTGATAAGGGAAATAACCACGCTCTGAGTCGAGTTCAGAGGGATGACCTTATCCCTATTAGTCATAACCTCTATCACCTCCTTAACCTCCTTAACCTCCTCAACCTCCCGCGGCCTCGCCGGCCTGCCTCTGCCTCCTCTGCCTCTGCCTCCTCTGCCTCTGCCTCTGCCTCTGCCTCTGCCTCTTCCCACTCCAGTCCTCCTCTTCTTAGTAGGTTCAACACCTACAGGGCCGTATTTTAGACCGGGCTGGTGCCAAATCCACCGTAAAAAGAAGCCCTTTTGGGCTACAACCCAAACCTTGAACCCCGTGTTGATCGGCTTGTTCTGTACCGTGGTTTTCTGGTGAGATCTCCCCTCATATTGGATCATGCCCTCATCCACAGCGAGATGAGAGCCCGGCTCTAAGAGCTGCGTTGATACGTATTGTATAAGATCAGACCACGGTGGTGCGCATTGGAATACCTCAGGGAAGCGTTCATCAGGTACGAATTCGGTGTGGTCAAAGGGTCGGAGGTGGCGGTGAAGAAGCTGAAACTTATTGTAGGTCATAAACTTGATGATAGAGTAGGTAGGACGCTGGTCCCCAAGCAAAGAGGTTTTCCAATAGTCCTCGATCCTAGTTTCCTTGTGGAGACCAATATAAATCAGGATTCCAAGCCAGATGTATACATCGGAGACCTTGAGCCTCGTCCACTTTTGCAGCCTTGAGCCATCTTTCAGTTCGTGGTTTTGGCTGTCAATGACGCCGCTCTCATGCAAGCTGGCGACCCAGTTGTTGGTGTATTCAACCCAGCTTTCGACTAGGGAAACAGGCACAAAGAGCTGGAAGAGCTGTAGTGGCTCCTGGGGCAGTGGGTTGACCTTAAGGTCGCGAGGCGGCACGTTGAAAGGTTGAAAGTTGAAGCCGCGGTCTTCAGCTGGGGGAAACTCAGGCCGGCATGTACTATCAGCCGCTTGCTCGCGTCTGCTGTTTTCTTCTGTTATGAAACTATTATCATCATAGATATTGACTGCCGGTATCTTAGGAGGTATCTTTCGGGAGGGCATTGCAATGAGCAAAATGAATTATGTGCGATTTTAGCTGTGAAGGGTCAGAGGGGTTTTTGGGTTCCCCACAGGTACCGTCACGATGACAGGGGTGATGTGGGGCGAGGTACGGAATGGAGGTTTATGACAGTTGATGGGATAATACGATTATGGTTGCAAAGACAGTGACTCCCGATCTCTTCAGACCCGGAGACCCTGTAATGCTTATGGTGAACACCATCTTCTGATGCAACTAATTAATCTAGTTATTGTGCTAAGCTTTTGGTGACGCGGCGACAATACACATGTCATTCAGCTCGACAAGCCTTACGGGGTCCAAAGAGATCCTAGCCTCGATCCTCACAAGATTCTATTCCTTGGCAGGCATCCGGCTCAACGATAACCTGTCAGCGTGGCGTAGCGCATGACATCTAGCTGGATCGCACCAATTGAGGAACGAAAGGATGAGAAATAGAAAGTCTAGACCCAGCCTTATCAGGTTTAATCTGCAACAAATGGACCGGTCTCGAATTACCAAGGTATATCGCTATGCATTGTGCTAGATAGAGGATACATGCTGAAGTATAGAGCCAAGAAGTACAGAGCCAAACATTCTAACATTAGATAGCACCATAGAGGCAAATGGAGAACATACCATATGCAGGTCCCAACTGTTACGGAAAAAAGCTGAAACAACTCTCTACAGTACCTTCCTGAGCCTTCATGTATTAATCGGCCATCAAGTTCAATAATACCAACAGCAATAGCTTCATATTTGTTTTGTCAACCATATCACCATCATTTGCATCGCCCTTCATGCCCGTTACTCTTGGGAATGGGGCAACCTGCTCCATTCACCTCGAAGAACCCAGTCTTTTCCTGTCAGGATTTGAATCCTTGTGCCAGGACTGTTCTCAGGAGCAGAATGACACCGCATTCTTGCGAGGAACACTCCAGCTGCATGTCAGCAGAAACACTAAGATCAAGTCAGTGCAGCTTAAGCTGGTGGGACGCACTCGCTTGGACTGGCAACAGCAAACGCAACCAGACTTCCACGAGGAATGTAACCTGCCAACACAAGTGTCGACATTCTTCAGCGCCTTGAACAACCCTGAAAAGAATGATTTTGGGTTCCAGTGCAGATACCAGTTGCAGAGCGCATCAGGCTCCGACAGCAACCTTATGAATGAAGGAAATACATTGGCACCGTTGGATCCAAATCTTCACAGCAACATGGGTGCCAAAAAGAGACGACGTTTGTCTCTTGACAACGTTCAAGCCCAATGTTACAACCATGGCAATACGATTCGACCCGCAACTGAAGTACAAGGCTACAAGATTTTCTATCCGGGTACATACGATTATCCCTTTGCGTTCTCAATCGCACAAGACGAACTGGAGACGATCAAGGTACCATATGGCTCTGTGAAGTGGGAGCTACGTGCGACTATCGCTCGCGCTGGTATGTTCAACACCAATCTTCGTGGCAGAAAAGAGGTTACATTGGTGAGAATTCCCGATCCTTTATCTCTGGAGACGATGCAGCCGATCCTATTCAGCCGGCAATGGGAGGATTTCTTGTACTACGATATAATCGTAGGGGGAAGTAGCTTCCCTATCGGCAGCATTATCCCTATCTTCCTTAGGCTGGGGCCTCTGGACAAGGTCCAAGTGCATGGGTTCGAGGTTTTGGTAACCGAATCTATGGAATACTCGTCAAATAACAAGAAGGTTATCAAGAGGCCTCCCAGTCGAACCGTCCTTCTCCTCAAGAAGACAGCTGAGAAAGCTATTTTTCCTTCATGGGCGACTTCGGGCCTCGTAACCGTCCGTGATGGCGAATTCACCCCGGAGCCGAGAAACGAGACTTGCGAAATGGCTGCCGAACAAAGGAGTGTAGAGGCATCGGGGGAGCGGACATCGGCCGGTACTGTGACAGAGAGGCGAGACAGCCTTTTGATCAACTCGGATCTGGATTTGCCGACTTTCTGGGGTACAACTGAGATCGAAGCAGCTGTGCAGATCCCCACGTGTGGTATGATGTTGAGGAGGGGGGAGTTAAGGCTGCACCCCAAGTGTATCTGGAAGAGTGTCGTTGCAAAGCATTGCCTGAAGGTAAATTCGACAGCATTCTCCCGCCCCCCCTTATTCACGCTGATGTTGACGAACAGGTCATACTGCATATCAGCCGTCTTGATGCCAATGACCCGACTGGGAAAAAGCGCATCTATCGAGATACCATCACATACTTGCCGATTACTCTTCTCAACTGTCGAGCCAACCAGGCTAACATGAGCCTTCCCTCCTACTCCGATGAGACATTTCCGTCTCTGAGCTATCACAAAAGCTGTGGGTGCCCTGATGCTTCGACCATACCGATCGAAAAGCCACCCCGCCATTCCATTGGAGGGCTGGCTGCGTGCCACCTTGTCGATGACGGGCATAACGCGCACCCTACCACAAACTCCTGGCAACCCACTGAAGTATCGGGGGACCACACCTTCGACCTGTCTAGCTCGGATAACGACATCACACCACCATCCGTCCCCGCACTCATCAACGACGAACTCCCACCACACTACGATGACATTGTGGGTGGCACCGGTCTCAGCGGCCTTGAAGATTATTTCTCCCACCTAGTACGTTATGGATGAGACGCGGCCCTTTGGTTTCAGTTTTGCCGCGCTCGCTCTTGAAAGATGTTCGACCTAGACTCGGCGATATTCCACGTGAAAGGGAAAGACAAGCTAGCAGGTCAAATAGATGCCTATAGTTAAATCAAAGTACAATGCATTTCAGCTATTGCTGCCTGTTTAGCAGAGAAGGCTTGGGTGACAAATTAACAGCCCATGGACATGCTTATCCAGCCTATCGAAACCCCCGATATCATACTCTGAGGCTCACCGGGCGGGCGTCCTTGTTTCCCTTGTCAAAGTTATGGTCCGATTCGCCCAGTATTTTATGATAAGCTGAAATAAGGTGACTTGTCGCTATGAAGGCTTCGTTTAAATGTTAGCTCATCCCCGTCATTTTCCACATCGTTCGCAATGAATTCTCACATGCCCGACCCTCTGCGGATTCAATGGACGAGATCCATGACCGAGATTCAACGCCGGCAGACGAATCTCATTTTGGGACTCAGGCCTCATACATCCTCGCCGGTCTCGCTGCGGTCTGGTTGGCTTCAATGGGCCTCGTGGGTATTCGCTCGTCAGTATCCTACCCACTGAATAAGTCTTTCTCTATACTGACGATCAACAAGCATCGTGAAACGTAGAAGACAGCACATGCTAGCACAAGGGGATATTGAGAGCCGACATGTCGCTCCGGGCGGCATAGTGACTTTGCAAACTCTCGACTCCACAAGCCCAGCTGAAAGCTACAAATTCCCCCCGTCGTCTAAAACGCAGCCATCTTTGGAATCGCACACTATTGATTCGTCAGAACTCTGGTACGTTCTTGGCCACTTTCCGCCTTTCACGTTCAAATTCTGAATAGCTAGTGCGATCTGTCTCGAAGTATTTGAGAGTTCAGAGACCGTGCGACGATTGAAGTGTGAGCATGTCTATCATCAGGAATGAATCGACCGTTGGTTCCGAGGGCGGCATTTCACTTGTCCGTTATGCAAATCAATTTATGTGGCACGGCCAGTCAGCGCTGCATCATGTTAATCGTTGGGTGATTCAAACTTTTTATTCAGTATTGGAATAAAGTATAATTAAAACCAGCCTTTGTCACATATAGTACGAGGACCCTCAATATGGTGGCTTGAAGCACATCTCAATCATCCATCTCGGGGAGATGCATCCCAGCGGAGATTCCGGGAAGGCTAACCTATACCATGTCCTTCCCTTAAACTTCACGAATGATTTTGTGGGCAGGGAGGGGTTCCTGGATTAGTGGGTGATTTGCAGGGGTCTCGGTGGGTTCCTCCGTCAATGAGCGGAGGAAGTGTCATTTCTGGCAATAACATCTTAGACTAGCCAAGCTTGGAACCGGTCGCTTATGACGCTGTACAAGAGGGTGGGTGCGGGTTAATATTGTCCCGGTATTTGTCACTGGGATCGCAATCTTCCGGGCCATCCTATCTCCTCAGTGCCCACAAGCCTCAATCCCGTACCCCGCCCCACATGACCCCAGTCATGACGACAGTACAAGCGGGGTACGGAAAGTGTTAGATTTTACCAACTACACCACACGCCTGGTTTTATATTTGACAGATTGCTTTGCTTGTCAGGGCTTTCGGCAAGGCCAAGTGAGGCTAAAAGGCTAAAAAAGGAGGTTCCTTGGGGAGGGTGATGGCAATGCAAGAAGGGGGCGGACTAATTATTGGTGTAGCGTGTGCAAGGTTCCTCTTTGTAACGGCAATTGCTGGTACTTCTTTCATAATAGAAATTAGGTAGGCAATGAAGTACCTCTTGTTTGAGGCATTTTAATTGGACCAACCCCCCTGTCAGTACGGGAATTGAGGCTTGTGGGCACTGAGGAGATAGGAAGAACAACCCTGACCCTCAACCACTTCACATGCATAAGTACGATCATTACCCTCCATCAGCTTCATATACTTGTAAAAGTAGCTAATGATAAGATAGAATAAGGATAATGGGGCGATTGGTAAGATTCTTAGTTGCTCTTCCAGCACGTGTGTTTACCTGCCACACTCCGATGACATTCTTTACTCCAATAGGAACACTTCAAACGCGCTCAACTCACAGCTGTAAGCCGCCATGATCCGATATACTTTAAGTGGCGCTCTGCAGCGATCTGAAGGACCAGTCTAGACAATTTACTAAAGCCAGCTGACTTCTTAGAGTCCAAATCATACTAAATACTTCTTCAACATAATCGGTTTGGCGACCAGTGGCGTTTGCTCTGTAATATGATAAGACAAGAATCAAGAGCTTGAATGTGATGAAAACATGAAATAGTGCAAGGATTGCATCATAATAAGCTTAGATGAATACATCCCCCGTTCGTATCAAAAACACATACACCATCGCTTATCTTTACATTTCTCTGAATACTAAGGGGTAAAGCCATCCAGCTACTACAACTATATAAGAACTCCAAATTCAAGTAACCCTACAACATCTCATTCCCAATCAATTACCTTTGATCTACGTCAAAATGGCTGAATCTGGAGTTGCGCACAAAGTCATTTCTGTTATCCTCCGTCTCTCGGAGCTTGCCTCTGCTATAATCGTTCTGGGAATTCTCTCACGCATCACCTATCTTGTTGGCCTCGCGGAAGCTAGTGTCGATGGACGCATTATCTATACCATCGTTGTCGCATGCCTCGGCATCATGTACTCCATCTTCTTTTGCCCACCATTCAGGAACATGTTCTTAGGCTTCCCATTCGACTTCCTGCTGTTTGTGATGTGGCTCGTGGCATATTGCTTGCTTCAAACGGTATTGTGCTCCTTCACACTTTTACGCTATTCAGAAGTAAACCCATTTACTAATGATACGCAACTTTTACCATTCACAGAAGACAGGTAGTAGCTCTTGCTCTGCACGCTGGTATTACGACTATTGGGGCTACTATTGGGGCCGTTTCTACAAAGTCGGACCCATTGGGACTGTTTCCATCAACGGAGCGGGTTGCTCCTCGTGGAGGACAGTACTGGCGTTTTCATTTATTGCTTGGTTCCTCCACCTTTTGAGTGGAATACTTGTGAGTCAACCGGATGATACACTCCCTATTCCCAGGAATAGGGGAGAAGCTGACGTGGTATTTTGTAGGGTGTCTACGTTTTCCGTACTTATGTCAAACTCGATGAGACAAAACGCGACATCAAGAATCATGCGGAGAAGCTCACCAAGTAAGAACTGCTTTGCGAGAATAGCCTTAGCACGATTTTGAATATTGGGCTAATACCTCTTGTCACCAGACCTGACCCTCGAGCAAACGGTTACAACCGAAATATCCAGCAGCAGAATAGCGAGACTACTAGTGTCTAGTTGTTACGGCTGTACCCGGTTAAGCAGGATTGAGGAAGAGGGGCGAACTGCTGAGAAGAAAGTCATAGCAGAGAAGGGTGTGACACTGTTTCATTGTTGGAGGAGTCTAATAATCAGGCAATGGCTCGGCAACGTAATTGAAATTAAGGATCCAGCAAATCGAATTCGGAATCTCAAACACTTAGTTAGCTTTGAATACACTGACAGTACCATGTTGCGACTTGCATAGAAGGGAGATCATGAGGTGCATCAGAACCATATCCAGAGTTTGAGCCAATCAAGCGAGTCTGCAGCCACTCAGATCACATGTGAATTAATCTGCACACCAACAACGTCCCAGTTTAGAACAGCAATGTCACCACTACCTTCTCTGACCCCCGCCATAGCTCGTAACAATGTGCCAGATCACAGTGACACATCCAGATCCGCAGTGTAACCCTATCATCCAGAGATCAAGGGGTAGGGTTACATCAGCGGCCGACCGAGTTCGATGAGAGAGGGTGGTTATGCAGAACAACAAGGGGTCCGTAAATAAGCGGAAGTGGAATTCTGAACCAGGAACGAAGGAAAACCGGAGTACATACCGGAGCGAATTGGAATGCCAGGGCGGTGGGAATCTGTTGCTGCTGGCATATCAACGGCGAAGTGAGTTTGGGAACGTCGTTCTACGTTCAGTAGATGTCGGCTGCAGTATACCAACTTTTCTTAGTCTTCAGGCTGCATCGGCGAAGGACCTACCGTTATGTTCCGGCTAGACACGGTGACAGAAGTCTGTTAAGTAAAGGTGGGGTAAGGCTTGTTGGCAACTCAGCTTGTTATTTGGAGAAGGGTCAATTAGTCAGTCTAACTCACCGCATCTCTAATAGTTATGTAGAGGGCATTGAACTAAATGCTGGAACTAACGGTTTTCATTGCTGAGTTCCGCGATATCAGATAGGATAACATAACGCTATGGTCGCCAACGACGAAGAGGGCAGTAGGCAAAGTCCTGATGATTCTCAACGGGTAATTGCAGATAACAGTTCAAATACCAACGAGAATCATGAGGGTAATATTCATATTGATCAGAGGTAAGCCACTGGAGTAAATAGGTTGCAGTTGGAGGCTCACACACGGACTGCTACTGATATCTAACATATCGTTGGTCTTAGTCGTTGGTGGTTTCTCTCGACAGCCTTCCCTATGATTGCCGGTACTTTGGGTCCCGTTGCTTCTGCGTTCAGTATCTGTTCCATGGTTGAGCCATGGAGACAAGAGCTTATCCCTGGGGAGAATGTTCAAGACGCTCCCTCTGTTGCTGATCCTTCATGGTACGCCACGTGTTAGTTTGATTGGTCTTGGAATGGATATTCACTATAAGCTTACATATAGGTTGTTGATTATCGAGGCCATCCAGCTTCTCGTCGGCGTTATCTCGAACCTGTTCCTTCTGCTTAATATGGCGAAAAGGGTTCGCTTCAATCTGGCCTTGCCTGTCACAATATTTGGATGGTACTGTGAACATATCGACCCTCTGGATCAGTACTAATATATGATAAATAGGTACGCCTCTTCTATTTGCCGTATCACTTTAACTGTCCTTATCGCGAGGCCTCTCAAAGACCTTGGATTGTCTGAAGATACTGTAGTATGGTCACAATCATTCTATTATGGGATGTGGGCGGCCATTCTCTACTTCGTGGATGCCTCGCTTCTTGCCATTACTTTTTGGGGAGCATGCGCTGCTCACTACCGGAAAACCTTGTTACTAACCACTAGTGAACGCACCTTAATGCTGCAGAGTATTATACTGCTTATATATCTCCTTCTTGGCGCCTATTTATTTTCCGAAATCGAGTCATGGGACTACCTCGATGCTGTGTACTGGGCTGTTGTCACCCTCTTTACTGTGGGCTTCGGGGATTTTCACCCTACGACGGACCTTGGAAGGGCTCTCCTGATACCGTTCGCGCTGGCTGGCATTGTATCTCTGGGTTTGGTGATCAGCTCAGTAACAAACCTAATTGTTGAAAGCGGAAGCCAATGTGTCACGGCTAGGATCGGCAAAAGGAGGCGGGAAAGGACCATCAAGAAGATGCTTCTCAGGGGTGGCAGCGATGCCCTTGAACCCATCCGTGACGAGCTTCAGATACCCGTCACAGGACCAGATGGATCACGCCGAAGCGAGTTCGAGCGCCGCAAAGCTGAATTTCTTCTGATGCGCAGAATCCAGAAAGAGTCTTCCACGCGCAGAAGATGGGTAGCCATGGCTATTTCCACATTCTCATGGCTTATCTTGTGGTTCTTAGGCGCCTACGTCTTCCAAAAGGCCGAGGAGGCATACCAAAGCTGGTCGTACTTTGACGCATTCTACTTTTGCTTCGAAGCCTGGACGACCATAGGATACGGCGATCTAGCTCCAGTTTCTAACGCGGGTAGATCGTTCTATGTCTTTTGGTCTCTCTTGGCCCTGCCGATCATGACGGTGCTTATCTCAAACGCAAGTAATACCGTGGTTAGGGTTGTTCGAGACATTACGATATTAGTGGGAAACATCACTATATTGCCAAACGATAGAGCCTTCCTTCGAAACGTGAAGTGCCTGATCAGAAAAATAACGTTTGGTAGACTCTTCCCCGACCCAGAACCTGACCCTTCCATCTCGGCGGCATGTGCCAAGGATACTCACGAAGGATCGATTAGGAACATGACAGAGTTTCGTGACAGTTATCACCATGATGATAGCAGAGGCCTGGCCACTACGTCTTTGACCGCAGGCCTGGTTTCCCCCTTCACCGGACCACGGAACACTGACATTCCCTCGCGCTCTACTCCTAATGCAGACAATGGTGTCCGAGAGCTTGCTACTGGGATCGACCTCCAACTACTGCTCACTTCCGAGATTCAGACCGTTACAAGTCACCTTCAAGAGTCTGAGCCACACAATTACACATTCGATCAATGGGTATGGTACCTCAAACTTCTTGGTGAGGACGAACACAACCCACAGACGCACTGTAGAGCGAACCTTGCAAATGATCAACCCAGTATCAGTCAGGACGTTTCAAGCAGTGACCTGAAGTGGTCTTGGATAGGAACACAAAGCCCTCTATTGAGTGGCCAGCGGGAAAGTGAATGGATCTTGAACAGGCTGATAAATAGGTTGCGAGAGTCTTTGTTACTTGCGAAAAGACTGCAACCTTTGAATGACAATACCGTACCAGAGGGCACAGCTGGAGCGACCTTTGAGGATAAATCTACAGCAAGATCAGAATTATATGAATAGGCTTGATATAAAGCAATTCTATAGAATAATCCTTAATCTGACATATTATAAGCGGTCTATTCCCACGCAATCTTAGGCGCTACCCGTAATATGAATTAAAAAACAAAACACTTGTTGACAAACGCAACATATTACTGGACTGCCTTCTTCCCCCGGAAAAGCTGCTTAAACTTATTGAATCCCGAGCCCAAAAGTCCAAGTCGTAGCAAGGAGTATAAAGCGAAGGTAGCAACGATATTGAAAGCGATATAAGCGAATCCAAGGGCCCAATCCCGCCATCTGTCCTGATAATACATACCGGAGCGAGCCAAGATTTGATTAGCATACCTCAGAGGGCAATAAGAGCAATTAGCAGCCGCGCTCGGGTTCAGGAGCGTCCCCGTGGCGCCTTCCTCAAGATATGGCTGCATGTATGACCCACAAGTGTCACCGGCAGGGGGCTGGAAGACGGCAAGTTCGGACTGAGAACAGACGACCGGATCGCCTGAAAGTCCCGAGACAGAAACACCGCCAACAAGATATGTCATGGGCGAGACACGGTACATGAATATCCAGAAGCCTGGCAAAGCGGTAGGGGTCTGGAAGACACCAGCAAACAGGATCATCATTGAGAACAGGACTGTCGTTATACGACCAGCTGTTGTTGCATCAGGCAAAGGCGCAGTGACCATGACTGCAAAGGTGCCCACAAGGACATAAAAGTAGGTGAAGAACAACAGGACCAGACCTTGGTCTTCAGACGATCGAATGCCGAATACCGTGTAGTTGAATATCGCAAAGGTTATGATACCAAGGACAAGATGGTATGGTATCTCGACAAGAATGTTGGCAAAGATGAGAGCGACCCATGAATACATATTGGAGTGCTTCTCACGAACTTCGTAGACTGTCCGCTGCATGATGAACTTGGGCATGATCTGGGCCGTCGTGTCAGCTGCATGTCACCTACATGGCCATCAAATCGTTGCTTTCTTACCTGCTGGACCAAGCTGCTGAACATTGCGCAAACCATGAGAATAGAGAAAATGGCGTTCTGAACACCAAGAATTGATTGTCCGGGCTGGAAAAACGAGAAACCAATGAATAGTGTGCCTGCAATGCCCAACATGAATTTGCTTGCAATGTACGTTGTCGATCTCCAATATTGTTGGAAGACTCGCCGACAAACAATTGGTAGCTGGGAGCTCAACGGAAGTCGGTAAGTTCCATGCGTTCGACCTTGGCCTAGGTCGCTTTCCGGTGATGTTGTCTGGGACGAAGGTTTCGAAGTGCGTTCCAACTCAGTTGAAACTACATTGGCCTCTGTAGATCTGTCCCACAGACCAGGCCAGTCGATGTCTTGGCCGTCCATATTGCCTATCATACCGAGTATATACTCAGCAGGGTTCTCAGCGTCCTTGCACCTCCTCGGTGCGCGGGCGTCAAAATATCGAAGAACAGCCTCCGAGGAGTTCCCAATGTCCCCGAAGTAAGCGACCTTGCCGCCCCGTGCCATCAGCAACAACCTATCGAAACGCTGGAACAGCATGGCACTTGGCTGGTGAATTGTGCACAGGATGCCCAAGCCACTTGCGGCTAGCTTCTTAAGTAGAGCCAAGATTGCCTCGGATGATTGGCTATCAAGTCCCGAAGTAGGTTCATCCAAAAAGAGAAGTAGGGATGGCTTCCCGGCCAACTCAACTCCAATACTAAGGCGCTTTCGCTGCTCAGCATTGAGTCCCTTGCCGGGCAAACCGACGATAGCGTCGGCAAAATCATCCATACCAAGAAGGTGAATCGTCTCTTCCGCAAATTCGAGTTTCTGGCGTATTGGTATGTCACGGGGTTGTCTCAACATTGCCGAGAACTGTAGGGCTTCGCGTACAGTCGAGGTTTCAAGGTGAACGTCTTGCTGCTGTACATAGCCAACGTCACTCTTGAAGGACTCTGGTAACGGCTTCCCGTTCAGATAGAATTCGCCCTTTACATCACCCGCGGGCATTCTTTGGGCCAATGCATTCAGCAGCGTCGTTTTACCCGCCCCTGATACTCCCATCAAGGCGATCATAGAGCCTGGTTTCACCCAACCGCAGGCGTCGTTAAGTAGACGCCTCGATTCTCCTTTGATCATAACGTCGTAGGTCAACTTCCTCCATGCAAATACCCCCTGATCCGCTTGTGGCGCTGTCCCTTTATTCACAACGACCTGGACCGGCGTACTGTTAACCACTAGTGGCTGCTCCACGTCTGCCTTGCCTTTGAGCTTGGAGTCGGCTTTCGTTGTGAGACCAGGGATGCGGTCATGGAGGAAAACAAGGACATCAGCACCCACAGACGTGTTGACGTTTAGATCAGAAATCAACAGATATGTGAAGAGAAAGAACAATAAAAAGCCAAGAATGATGCCCAGGTTGCGCCACAGGTGCGAATAGCTATAGTCATAGCTTGTCTCAAACCAGGCATCTCCATTCACGTAGGTCTGCCCGGCCACGGATCCAGGGACTGGACAGATAAAAGTGTCGCCGGTCAAGTTTTGATAGGAGGGTACGATATTGGAGCAGGGAAAATTGGACCCATGCGCTTGGTTGACCAATAATGCCTCGAAAGCAAAAGAAAGTGGGTTGATGTAGGAGATCCATTTGAACCAGGGTTGCATATACGGACTGGGAAGCACAAAACCAGCGTATGTGACCAATGCAAGTACTAGGAAGCCAGAGATAGCCATAGCCTGAGGGAGGGTCATAGTTGCCGCGGCAATAGTGCGAAATACCATAGACATTGCCAACGTCGTTGTAAATACAAAAAGGAAGAAAATAAAGAACTGAGATGCTGTGTACGCAAGGCCGGCCAAAAAATACAAAATGATATTGAAGAACACGGCAATTACAAACTTGACAGGAATGTCAACTAAGACACTTGCAAGCGCATCAGCTGACGGCCGATAAAAAGCATAGGATACTTGTTTTGTGATGACTGGGCGGCCTTTGTATAGGTTGTGGATGTCTGTCACAGACATCAAGACATTGAGAAGTACAGAGAAGAAAAGGACGGACCCATAAGAGAAAAAGGCATCGGAGGTCTCTGGAGTACCATAGAAGATGGATCCGACGACAAGTGCAATGATAATCTCTCCAATCAGTGTCGTAAAGGTTGAACCTTTATCATTCCAAAGTTGTTGCGTCGCTCTTTGGGCGCAAAGTGCGGTCTGCATTGGAAACGAGACTGTTTGTGTAGCTCTTCTCAGCATCCCTTTCGCCTTGAGGTTATGGCGAATTGACTCGAATTGCTTCCGAGTCGTTTCTTGTTGGAGATCGAAATCCTTCTGGTACTTTTCAATCTCTTCCATCAAACGAGCATATTCAGTCGAGTTGAGCCAGTGACGACTAAAATCTTCAGGTGTTCTAGGCACCGAGTCTTCGTGCCCTTCCTTTGCTACTCTTTGCTCTGGGTCGGTGATGGTGGTCAAGTAGTCTCCTGATGTTTGCCTTGCGTGGCGTTGCCAACCCATCCGTTCGAAGTAAGCTGGGGCTGACGAAGCACGGCCGAAGAATATCTCTCTTCCCTCATATAGGACCAGAATCTTGTCAAATAGATCGAAAATGGATTGTGAAGATTGGTAGATCGCTGCCGCATTGGAGGATTGAGTTACTACAAAGTGATTAGAAGCTAGATCTTTCAAACAACTCCAATCCTCATGCTACTTACGGTCAGAGAGAGTCCGCAGCCGACTAACAAAATGCAGGGCAGACTCAGCATCTAGGCCTCTGGTAGAGTTATCCCACGCAGATATAGCGGCTTCAGAGAGTGCTGTCTCTGCTATTGAGACTCTCTTTCTTTCACCACCCGAAACACCTCGCACATAGTCATTTCCCACTATTGTGTTCTTCGTGTGCGAAAGTCCAAACACGGTCAGCATGACTTGCACCGCATGCTTGACTCTATCCTTCCGGGTTATCCCTGGTAGACGAGCCCTGGGCGTACGCATGGCGGCGGCGAACTCCAAAGTCTGTCCGACCGTCAGGTACGGGAGGTTCTCGTCTACCTCTCCATTGTAGATCAGCTCGCCTTTGAACTGTCGAGTCATTATTCGGTGCGGTACGCCTAGCCACTTCAGTCAACTTCTTGTACATTACAGTGTTCGTATTTATCGCACCTGTGTATTGTAAAATAGATGCTGAGTCAATATCCAAATCTCGCATCTGACCAGTAATGGTCTTCAGGAAAGTTGAGCAACCACTGCCGGGACGCCCTAAAACAAGTAGTAGCTCTCCCTTGTGCACCAACCCGTCCAGTCCTTGGAGAATGGTTTTGGTCTGCTTCGGACGGAACCAAGCCCTGGGATCGAGAGGAAAGGTGAGCATTGTCCAGACAGTTCCTTGCTTCTCGATAGCTGCGCTGCTGCCGCGTACAGTCAAGCTCTTGAAGGCAAAGCCGGAACGTGGTGGTGTTGGCACATTCAACTGCCTTCTCAACTTGACTAGGGTACGAGACCACGCCTGAAAATCGAAAGAAGGACTAGAAGGATTGAGCATATGGTCAGAAAGACCAAGCTTCTGCAGGACAGGGTCCTGCGACCCCTCTACACCATTCGATAGCTTTGTATCGTCAGATACTATAGGAGAAGCCGTCTCTGTACAGCCTTCAGATTGATTCGCGTTCATTTTGTTGGGCTTCTTAATCTCCTCCACTTCGTGGTGAGTTGCATTTGAGGGCTTGTTCCCGAGTTCGGCCATACTGGTTTTGTTATGCACTTATGGTCACAAAAGAACGTCTATTACCAGTGCAGTGGTGTGTTCCTGTGGGCGCACAATCAATGAGCCCTGTGTCGAGGTCGTGTTGGATTCGAGGTGAGTTGAAAAGAACATGTTTAATTGATATCCTTTGCACACAGAGATTCTGCGGATCTACTGCTGTTATGGTTAACCGGCATGCCACACCTACCTAATGTAACAAGGTTGTAAAGCACTAGAACTCCCATGCCGATATCAAGGGAACTCCGATACCGAGGTTTTCAGCTGGCTACCTGTAGATCGAACACAGACCTCACGGTGTATGGCATGTGCCATGGCGACTTTGAAGTGAGCGAGTTAATGGGACAGTTTGCATGAGGGCTCCAGCACATTAGACCATATTCGTGGTATCATGTCACTAGTTTGCGACGTCTTCGAAAGCGTGGCTGCTTATTGCTGACAAGAATGACACATTATGATATTGTCCATGCTAGCGATTCTATCCATTGGAACTAATTCGTCACAATGATTTATTGGATCTATAGTGATATGAGATCCTGTTTCTCAATTCGCGAAGACTGTGGAAACTTTCTTCCAAAGGCTTATACAAATGTAAGCCTCCACTTTATGCACTCCAGCTTACAATGCAGCCATTGTATCTTTTTCTTGTTAAGCTAGGGTGTGTGGCTCTATTTTGCAACGTGAAAATACGCCTCGTTTTAGAGTTTGGCCCATGCGATAAGATCAGGTCCTGTGGTGGAGGAGGGGTAGATCTTAGTTGACTCACCTCGATGGATGGGGGTAGCGTTGTCGCTTATCATCGTATCTTAGAGTCTTGATGGTCTCGACCGAGCCGTGCGTCCCCTCTGCAGAGCCTTGCGTAATTCGTCAGAGAAAGAGGTGCTTCGGTTGTGTCAGAATCAGCGGCTCATGTAACCCCGCCATCTGTCATTGCATGCAGCTTAACTTCAGGATTTACCATTGTACCCACAGACATTAAGGTGTTATTATAGTTTATCAAGAAGCATTCTTGTTAGCTAGAGTGCTTTTGATCATACTTTGGGTCAGCTTGTCAGCCATGCTGTGGTATGTGACACCATTCTGAGACATCAAGCCAATGCTATCGATGAGTCCAAACTAATCGTATGCGAGTTCAAGTTCACATGATGTTAGATTAGAACTAAAGAAAGAGTCAATGGTGGTGTTAGGCCAGACCTTCGATACGGTGTCTGGCTGATGGCTGCAGCGCTCATCATATGTCAACTCAATCAATTAATCACCCCAATCAAATCAATCAAATTGTCGAATTCTTCCTCTCAATCAAATCAATTCATGCCTTTCGTAAGTTGAAATAATTGATATATTACAAATGCATCATGCGATCGTCTAGTATCCCGGCGAAAATTCAGATCTTCCCGGACCACTACCCTACACCAGATAATCACAGATAGAAGTCTACTTTCTAATAGCTGTGGGTCAGCCCCAAAATCAAGTATTTACTATCGTGTTCTAACGCGTAACCCCACCACGCGTATGCAATCTGGAACGCGTTTCCCAACCATGAATGAATGAATGAATTTATTCCGCCCGGGAGGATACGCCTCATAGGGCCCACAACGTTAAATCTCGTTACATTCTTTTCCGACTTCTGGTCCTGAGACCCTGAACCCTCACCAGTCCCTACTCTTCATCACATTTCCCAGCCTCGCTTGTCCCTGCGACAGGCCTGCTTGAAGGCCAACTTCTCCAAGTGTTCAGCGTCCCATCTTCAGCGGCTGAAGCCTGGTCTGTCTACCAGAGGCTGTACTATATTAGTTCTTATTTGTCTTGTTTGGCTTGTTAGTATGTTTTTCATGTCTGTGTAGCATCCACACGGCCTGTGCTTATCACAAACTTGATCGCTGCTCGCACCGCTCTCAAGTTCGGGCTCCACCTGTGCCCGTCCTCTGCTGTCTTGCCTCCCAGGAAGAACAATAGATTGCCCATCATGCCTTGGTCGACGTTTCGCATGTGTTCTCGTTGCTCGCTCCACCATAGGCATGAGAAGAGAAAATGGTCAACCGATTCTTCTTCTTGACCGCAGTCACATGTGTATGTCTCCGCTGCGCCTATCCTGTGCAGATACCTGTTGACCCGTGCCATTCCCGTTCGTTGTTGCACCAGGATGTCAGATTCGCGTCTCTTCAGGGCGTCATATAGTATGCACGTGTGCTTGCCGGGCAGCGCCTTGTCAAGCTGCTTTGAATAGCTGCCTACGCTCTCGGGTAGCATCATGCGCTGTCGACGTTGTGCTAGTAGTACTCTCAGTCGGGTCGATCGGGCCTGGTATGGCGGTTTCGTTGCTCTGCATCTCCTATCTGTTGCCTTTCGCGCTTCGGCCTTTGCTCTTGCTCCCAATGTGAAAGAGTCATTCGTCGGCGATACCCAACGCATCGTGATGGTGTTTCCACCCTTTCCAAGTGGTTCGGCATGTTTGTAGATCTCCCGGATGGTGCCTTGTCCTGACTGCTGTCGAGGTTTCGTAATCGCTTGTAGCGCCAATCGGTTTCTTGTTGCAATGATCACCTCTCGATGTCGGAGACCATCAGGCATGCACCTGAGGACTACTGCTATCGCTTCCAGCTCGGTCGTATATGCGTTCTGTTCGTCTCTCGGGCCAAAAGTGATGGAGTACTTTGCTATGATACCATCATGAGCTCCTCCACCGGCGGTGTTGCGCACAACGCCGCCCATGCCCGCGCACCCCAGCGCTGCCCTCAAATCAAACAAATCAAATCCAGGGTCATATTTGAGATATTTGATGTCCTTCAAGACTAAATTTGTTGATTCAGATATTTATTCAAACATTTCAAATATTTCAAATCTTACCCTCTCTGCTCTCCATGCCACTATCTCCAGTTTCCCACTGGACCTCGTCTACTTCACCAGTTCTTACCCCTAGCTTCACCGCACCATGTCTGACCCAGTTCTTGAGGCATTGTAACATCTCCAATGTTTCCGTCGTTATCGAAAGCCTCTGCGTCGTCAGCGTTAGCTTGGCTAGACTGAACGACCTCTCGCAATCAGTCGCCATCGCCGGCATCACGAGTATATCGAGAGCCAATTGGCTGATCATCGGGAATTGCCCCTGGTGAGCCATCCACCACTCGATTGGATCCTCAGTCTCTTGTGGCTCTAGCCGCAGATCAGACATTACTATATGAATATGCAAATAACGTCTTATATGAATATGCATGAATATGTTATACGAATATGTGTTCTACAAGATAAGTGGAATATAATATGAATATGAGAAAATCAGCGTGAATATTCATATAGCCATGTATAAGCTCGAACCAAGCCAGAATCTTGTTGGGACCTCCACATAAAGCACTTTGGTAATCGTAGACGCGGTTGACACAGGTTTGAAGCTGTGGCTGTCGCTCGACAAAACTTCTAGCCCATAGCTTGCCAACTTTCTCTATACCACGCTCTGCGAGCAGCAAATTGGCCATATCTTCCATGTCAACTAGCCTTGGCGGGAACCCTCGCGAATCCAGATCGAGAATATGCTCAACAATAGCATCTTCTTCTATGTCACTAAGTTTTCGAGAGTCAGGTGCGATATCGCGTCGCGATGGACGGCCTTTCATCCTGGCGCGCAGTGTCGATTCGGGCACAGTTTGAATCTTTACCGCGTGAGTTGCGGGCAATTATTATTTTCTTGAATATCCTGGATATCCAAGAAGGGTCATCTTTCATTTGAATCAGATTCCATATTGTGAGGTTAAATGGCATGGCGTCAAAGTCAGATGAGAGGCGTCGGGCGGAAAATCCGCCACTCGCTTATAAACCACGTTATCAGAAAGAAAGAAACATCATACTGTCATCGTCGTCTCAGAATCACACTTCATCCGGACACACAAGTTTCTGAACGGACCAAGGAGCAGCATAGGATCTCTTCCAGTATACCGCGTCTTCCTTGCTAGCAGCCGCCTTATTCTTCTGTAGGTTCTTGTTCATGGGGTTGACATATTCACTGGATGGAGTCGAAGGATGTGGCAGCAAGTTATTCATAGGCATCCCAGCACCTGTGGTCTAGTACCATGCACAACCACCCTTTCGCCAACCCCACCCTTTCGCCACGCAAAAAAAAAAGGAGCACCACCAAAAATCAACAACTTTACTTACACAGAACTTGGCCAAAATGATAGATATGCGCAAAATTATTCGTCTTATAAATAATAATTGCACATATCTATTGAATCCTGGGTCTTTTGATAAGCCGCCCTGATCGCATGGTTGGTTGACGGGGTATGGTTTCCTCTCTGACCTCAATGACCGAGACAGCCTCCGATTCTGACTCCGGCTCGCCTGAGCAGCCACCTTCCACCACAACAGGCATATTTTGAGTCTCCTCTTCTGCTATGGCTTCTCCACCAGCTAGAGTCTCTCCAAGAGTCATAAAACGTTTGTTAGGATTCGGCACCGCCTTCCTCTTCTTCCCTCTCTTCAGGCGAGCCAATTCTTCCTCTAGGCTAGCAATCCTCAGCGTATGCGCCGCTACCGTCTGCTGTTGAGCCTCAAAGCCCTTAGCTATCACGCTGTACCGTCTCCGTGTCTTTGGTGTTTTGTTCAGCCCAAGATCACGACTTTGGCGGCTCGTCTGTGGTGTATTGTCCGAGTCAAAATACGGCCTGGGCTCGGGAGTCGCCCTTGGGCTGCCATTCGGCCTATCTTCCTGGATTTCTGGGTGCCGCAGCGCTTTGGCACGTGAGATCGGCCAATATCCAGTAACCCTCCAGCCAGACAGTATGTTCTTCTCAGTCATTCCAACTTGGCGAGCCTTAGCGTAGGCCCTGATGAAATTAACCTTGTCCATAGGAGCGGAATCAGTCAATGAAGCGAACTTTTCCAACTCTCGCCGATATGCGGCCTTCGACGCGTTGAAGACTCCATTGTCCAGTGGTTGGAGTCCATGAGAGCAGTGTGCTGGCAGATAACAGCAATAAACGTTGTTCAGAAAGCACGTGGCCATCCATTCATCCTTTCATCACTCAGTACTGATTTTGAGGCGGGGAAAATGAAGGACATACTGTTGCATGGCTTCCGTGACCATCTAAAATGATCAGTCTCGCATCAGAGTCATCGGCAGGCGTAGTCTGGGGCAGATAAACTCTTTCAAGCCATTCAATGCCAATGTGGTCATCAGTCCACCCGTTGGGCGATGTTATGTAATACCAGTCTGCTATCTTCTTGAATTCCTCAAGAAACCACTGTTTCTGGAGTTCTTTACCCTTAAAGATTATACCGGGGATTAAGGCGCGGCCATCGGCGGTGACAGCTTCGATAAATGAAGTCCAATTTCGAGTTTGTGGTCCCTTGAGAAATGCCTTCCGCTTTGGGTCAGCACTTCCAACAACCAAGCTAT